TAAATCCGAAGTTTGTAAAAAGTAGGCAGTAAACTTGACGGAATTTGAAGGCTAGCTTCCGGATTTGTTATTTCCGAATTTTATAATGTGATTGGCATTAAAAACACGCTCACCTTCAACGAAATTTCCTTTCCGAGGCTTTGTGTCATCCCAATCACATATTGTGCCAATACTTATCATTTTATCGTAATTGAAAAATTTGGAAATTGCACGGTACACTATAGGAACTACGATAAGTTTCTCCTAACACGCGCCATGTTTTTAGGCTTCTCCCATTTGACGGATCCCAATAGTTTTTCTTTTATTTTTGGAACAAAGTTGGTTATCGCAAGAAGTTAACCAGCAAAAATCGGCGTTGCCAAAAGAATTTCTTCATAAAAAAAAATATGAAATTATAAACTCTTTGGAAATAGATAATCTAAAATATTGGATCGATATTGTTTTCCGGGTTCAATATCGTGGTCCATGGAGTTGTGAAGTTCCAAATTGATATCAGCACCTGCTAAATCACCACTTATCGTACCTTTAGCAAGGAACTACTAAATTCCATGAATTACGACAAAACTTACAAGAATCACCAAAACCATCAAAAAATAAATTCCATTTTTGTTACCTCTCAATCTCTCGTAGAAATTAACTATAACAATTCTACTACCGTCCCTAAATAAAACAACTTCATAAAATTTCAATTACTTTATTTCTTTTGGAAAATGCCACAACGATTTTAACATTTCGATAAACAATTTATTATTTCCAAAAATCCGAGGAAGACTAGTTTTGTACAATTTTTATTTGGCAACAGTTGAAATAATTACGAAAATGAATAGCACAAAAAATAATAAATAAAATTACGTACTTAAAAATTGTTAAACAAAATCATAAATTTAACGACAACTGATATACAAAGTACGTGAAAGCTCATTGTCCTCGGTACACCATTCGACTTGTAGTAACTTTCGGTAATGTCATTACAATATTCGTTAAGGGTCGCATGGGGTCCAATGCAGGCCGCGTGGCTTACCACGTGAGCCAAATAATTTTGTTCAAAAACACCCCTGATTAATTGAGATCCAGGACCTGTGGCAAAAACTGCTACATCTTCACCCCCATGAGTCTCGTCTTTAAGGTATGCCGCACCCCTATGTACGTAAAAAGGGTTCGAGTACAAATTTTCGTCGTCGGAGACATCTATCCAGGGGTGAGACTTATTAGGGACAAAGTGGTAATTAAATCCTGGTCCATTTACATACGCAGCAGTGTAATATGTGTTTTCCTTGGCTGTTTCGTTTCCAAGACCTAAGGGATGAAAATTACAATTTACGAAAGCTTAGTCATATCCTCGTTACCAAATGGATTTGTTTTCAATCCCTAGTTGTTACCATTTTTGGTGTTTTTTTACATACCCAGAATAGTTCATACATTAATAAATTAATATTAGCTTTATCAATTACTTTAGGTTATATAAATATAATAAAATATTTCAAGGAACAATTCAAGCATAACTTTCAGAAATATTAGTTTTCCATTATGAATTAAGTTAATTTTCGAGATATAGTTTCATAAAATAGAGGTCCCTATCTATTGAATTAATATTTTCCTTCTATATAACTTTAAAGTATCTATAATTTAAAGACAGGGTCAAAAATTGTATAAGTATATAAGAAGGAAAAATAATATTACGATTTTCTTAATATAAAATTGTGTTTTCAACCGGGGTTAATTTGAAAAATATTTTATTATCATAGGATGGTATATCTTTAGTAATATTTCATATGTGAGATTGGCATCACTGCTTCATAGATGCCTATTATTTAAAAATATCAATTGGTGCAGTTTATATCGAGTTTTTCGGAAAGCACAATGAATTGTGCTGTGTACGATTAGTGTATAAAGTGAATTACAACAACTAAAAGGCCGGTTTTTCTCAGTAAGTTAATTAATAAAAACTAAACTGTGTAAATGATGTATGGAGTACTTTGAAAGAAGATAATAACGTTCTCGGTGAGTTGCTAAAACAATTTAAGGTTATAGGTATTTGATACATAGCTACAATTTTAAATGTTTTCTTCTTAAATTTCATAAACAATACTGTATAATTGGCTTGATAATTTTAGAATTAGGTACTTTTTCTTGACAATAATGTAAAGACAACTTTCATTTATCTTTTAAATGGATGTTCAGAACTTCAATTTTTATATCTACCTACACCTTCAGGCTAATTAATGGCTAACTATAAAGGAAAAAATGAAGCTGTTGACCTAGATATTATAAATATAAATTACTTTAATTATTTTTGGTGATATACTGTAATGTGTAGTGTTAATTTGTTAAGGCTAAACATTCTGTACAATAATTGTTCCGAAAGGTATGTACAGTACATTTCTCGAATTTAAACAATTACGTCACAACGAAAGCACATCACTGTTGCCAAGTCGCTTCAGATTTCTTCAAGGTAATAAAAATAATGAAAATGCATAATATTTTCTTTTATAATTCTGTGAATGACTTACCTAAAATGTCATTTCCTCTCTTTGGATAACCACTAATGGTAAATCCATGCGAATGGTCGGCTGTTACTAAAATTAACGTTTCATCTGGATTTGTCTCGTTTAAAGCATATTCGATTGCTCTGTCGAATTCTGCGGCTTCTGATAGTGCCATTCTGGCTGTGTTTTTATGGTGAGCTATATCTATTAATCCTCCTTCGATCTATAACAAATTATGGTACTTATTGAGAAAAAATCGTATTGAAAATTGAATCATTTAAAAGCGTTTTCTCGTGCTTATTTTTTTTTATGCTGATTTATCCCTAAATTCCTTTGTGGCAAAACTGATTTTTTAGTTACTTACTAATAAAACATATCCATTTTGGCTGTTTCTTAATAGTTGAAGGGCTTTTGCGGTTAAGTCTGTAAGGGATGGCGTTCCTGTTGGACCCGCATCTCTTTGTAACTCAAATGGCAAATGGTTTGCGTGAAATAGGCCTGCAAAGAAGTAAAAGAAAAATGTTATTTATTTTGGTGTCAGTTTTAGGATTTTCGATTAGCTAACTCAAATGTTTCTTCAAATAATTTATCAAAATGTCAAATATTTTTAATGAAGGCGATGGTTAGGTACATAGGTATGTTTAAAGGAAAGCTGGAACCTTTATAATGTGTGATATTATTTAAAAATATCGACCACACGTGAAATCCACCGGCCACTATCGATTCCAATATCAATTTTATTTAGTGACTGCTATGATATTTATAATCAGTTACTTCTTCTAATTTTTCGTCTTCTATAAGGATAGAAGACAGATGACGCTTGGAAGCAATAAGTAATAGGTGACATAGGTTGGTAGGACACTTTCTCAGATATGAAGGGCTATGTAGAGACATATCAAAAGCAGAAACAACAGTTAAAAGGAGTAGAGATAGACCTAGACTAAATGACTGTTCACAAATAGTTTAGGATGAAAGATGTTCTAATGTTAGGGAAATGCGAAGATTAGCTCAGGATAGGAAAGACTAAGAGAGACAGATGCGTGTCCAACCAGTCTTAAGACTGACGACTTTATGATGATGACCATGAATGCTATTTGGTACATCATCATCATCATATAGTCTTCAGTCCTAAGACTGGTTGGACACGCACCTCCACCTTATCCTATCCTGAGCTAATCTTCGCATTTCCCTAAAACTAGAACATCCTACATCATTAACTATTGGCGTACAGTAATCTACTTTAGGTCTACATCTAGCCCTCCTAACTTCCGTTTCTGCCTCTAATATGTCTCTGCTAGACCTTCATGCCTGAGAAGGAGTCCTACCAACCTATCTCGCCTATTTCTTATTGTCTTCCATAGAGTCCTCTTTTCTCCTATTCTTTCTAATACCTCTTCATTTCTAACCTTCCCTATCCACGATATCCTCATCATTCGCCTGTAACACAACATTTCGAACGCTTCTAACATTTTCTTTAGCGCTATTTGGTACAACATAACTAAAATAGTTAGGCGAAACTGCAAGCAAAAATGCGTAATTTATTTTATGGATGGTCCTTCGACATAGACATTTAATACTGGTCAAAATAATAAAACATTAATGACAATTCTAAAATACGTATGTAGGAAAGTAAGAGGCAAATTAAATATCTTAAAAAACTTTTTTTCGTGCATGTCTATATCATGGGGAGACTGAGAGATCTTATAGAGAGGAAGTTAATTTTTTTCCGAAATTTAAATTTCACGTTTTCAGGAATATTTCTGAAAATGTACTGCAAAAATAGGTATGTTTTTTTTATAATTTACGTACTGGGTGATAGATATAGGAACAATATAGGGATGGAATAAAGCCTCTCATTGAGAATGGGTAGTGTCCATACAGTTATGCTTAATTCAGAAATGACGTATTATAAGTGTTATTTTTTATGTATTATCTCTAATGAAAATTTAAATTCTCCTTTTAATGTTTATTCATTTTTTTTTCAAATACAGAAATAAATAGATAACTTACCCAGCAAATATTCGGTATTTTCGTCTACAGACGCCAAACCTTGGTTATCGGTTACAAATTTTGCGTTTGAAGTGCTGTGAGCGTCTTCCCACATTTTGGTCAGATTAAGATTATCCGTTCGTTGACATTCATTCAGCTGTGCGTCGTACACGTATCCCATCATTTGTAATCCACCTCCTAATATTACCTGGATATCGAAATAATAAAAATTTATTGTAATTTTTCATTGAAAAGGTGTTGTCCATAAAATACGTCAGTCAGAATTTTATGTTTTTGGACCCTTCCATCTCCCTTATTTATGCGTTATGCTAAGTCATTGTTTCAGCGACCCCCTATTGCGTCACGAAAACTTGTCCCCTCCCCTTATAAACAATTTCTTATGATTTAAAATAGTAACGAGAATTAGTTTCCATCGTAATGAAAAATTTTTAGAACTGCCAAATTAAAAAAAAAAAATTAAAATAAAATTGATGAACTGCGAACGTCATTTCCTTAGACCCCCCTCCCCTCTTGTGATATCTCGCAATATCCCTTCCTCCCTCTCAATTGTGAACGTATTTTATAAACTACCTTTAATATGGTTGTGACGATTAAAAACCGAAAACAATAATATATCAATTGTAACTAAAATTTCTAGGTGTATTCTTCTACCTATCTTCGCATATGTGAACGCCATCTTGAAGTTTTTTCGACCATTTGGTATATAAATTTAAAAATAGTCCTTATTATACAAAATACTCTAATTGAAAAAAGAACAACCCTTATAGGGCCTTAGGAACAACTATCGGTGTCAAATCGAATCTAAAATAACATGACAAATACTAAAATCTGTAAGTCTTCTAATAGTCGTCGATATTTCTATAGTTGAGATGATCAAAATTGGCATAGTCCCCAATAAATTATCCGTTGGAATGGACGTATCTTCAGTCTTATTTCTACTTGAGACTGTAGTCATTTGCTACGTTTTGAAAACGTCCTTATTAAATTAGGAAATGCTTCATGAATAGTATAGACAAAGTGAAAAGATAACCGAATAACAGTAAGCGGTGCAGCGGTCTGGGGTTGGTCAGGTATGTAAAAGATAAGGGCCGGCTTTATAACTGCCTGGTTGAAATTATATCTTTAAACAAGCATCTTTGCTTTCCTAAATTCCTGAAAATGTTGAAGTTTCTTTAAGGATGTTTGGGAGGTATTTTAAATGCTACGAGACAAATGAAAATTTGGAAGAGCGTTCCTCATTCAATTCTAAAACTCTTGTAAAAATTATAAATCGATTCACTAAACCGTTATAAAGTTATTGAAATTTTAAAAAATTGTAATTTTACACGTCATTTTATGGAGATTCGTTAACGGAACAGATTAAATTTATTTTTATTAGCAGGAAAAAAGCTACCAGAAATTTCAAACTTTTATAATAAGTAACTTGAACTCTGGAGAATCACTTTAGCGTAAGGTTATTCAAATTCACTAAATGGTTATCGAGGAAAAAATGAAAAATTAGCTGAAAATCTCGTTTTTACTTGATAATATAATGATAATATTTATAATTGTCTGAAATAAATGCAATTTTAAAGTTTTAATTATTATTTAAACATATTAAAAAGTTTTACGCTCATTATTAATAAAGATTGAAACTAAATATTTTTTTGTTTCGAAGTTGAAATCACGGCATATTCACTGTCAAAAGTAAGTTAAAATTTTCCATATTATTCGTTATTTCTAATTTTATTCAAAATTTTTGGTCAAATTCCAAATTTTCTCTCAAACCGTATAGTTTTCTTTTAGTATAGATAGTATTTATTTACCTCATGATATGCTGCAAAACCTAATTAATCACGAATTTCTAATTTTTTGTGTTCTTGTCTCCGATTGTACCTCCCAAACATCCGTAAAGTCTAATAATACTGGCAACGTGCTCAAATAATGCTTGTCTGAATCTCTTTCTGTAATGGTTATAACCGAAACATTGAACAGAACCGTGTTCATTCATATACATTTTTTGGTCTATTTGATGCCTCGACTTGTCCGCATTCTAACTACCGGAGTCCGCTGCGGCCGGCGCTCACTCCATCCACTCATACCGAAGAACTCGAACTTTTTTGTTCAAGAATTTCACGAAAGTACATGTATTCTTATGACGAACGATTTAATTGCGAAAATGAAAATGCATTTTGAATCTTAAGAAACCTCTCCACCGTCTTGGTTTTTTAAAATTTATGCTTACCCTGAAGTTCTTTCCGGGAGCGTCTTCGACTAATTGCCGGGGTATATCTTTTACTTGAGAGCGATATTCCGGAGGAACTTTTGAGTCACATTCCCAGTCTCGATGGTTAATATTCGCGTAAGTGGCAGCAGGCGTTGCATGGGTTATTCTGGTAGTTGTCACAATACCTATTGCAGTAATTAATAATGATAATTAAACGGTGTAATACGTAAATATTGAAACAGTTACAAAGATTTTGCCAATTGATAATTAGAAAGTTTGTTCCTTCTGAGAAGTCGATGAATAGAATTGGATTGAATCATTCATTGTTACATGACTTAATTCAGGGATTAGTAACCATCTTCAACTCGACATTTTTAATAATGATTCCACATATTTTATTTAATGGATGAAGGTTTAGTCAGAGACATATTAGATGCAGAAACAGGTGTTAAGAGGAGTAGAGGTAGACCTAGATTAGATTACTGTTCACAAATAGTTAAGGATGTGGGATGTTCTAGTTTTAGGGAAATGCGAAGTTTAGCTCAGGATAGGAAAGAGTGCAGGTGCGTGTCCAACCAGTCTTAGGACTGACGACCTTATGATGTTGATTAAAATAACAACTAACAAACATTCAAAAATACAATGTGTAATTATACAACACGCTACTGAAGTGAAACTTTCTCAAACACACAAACATACCGGGATAGGAGTTAAGGAATTAGTTTAATGGTACTATTTGTACACTATGAATTTAAATTTTACACTACCCATGCCGGAGTTGCCTGTAACGAACGTTGCATTGAAGCGCGCTCACGGCTCAAGCGATCCCCACTACGAACTCGACTACGCGGCCGAGTAGAGAGGGGACATCCGTTGCATGATTTCGTTACATAGCAACTCGCATTAAACGAACTTACCCTACCGTGCGTAAAGAAGTTTCACTTCAAAAAAATCCAACAACATTGTACTGTACTTGCCTGTGTCCTTTCCAGCATCTTGAGCCCATTTCATAATTCCTTCCAATTTTCCCTCTTCATAAGTGATAGGATTAAAAATATCGCCGTAGTTTGTTTGATCGAGGCCTAACATTTTATATCGTGTTTTGATACCTGAGAAAGTACAATAGTTACACCGATTCAGTTTAAATTAGAATTAAAAGTAACTTTTTACACAATTTTAGTTCTTAGAATTACCTAGCTGTATATTGCAATCAGTAATTATATCAATTGTAATCTTACAGAGGTAAACAAAAGTTAGCCGTTCGTAGAAAAAAAAATTCTTATAATCATTTAATAACATAAAAGAAAATGATAAATAAACATAATAATTAGTTTAATTACATTAATTCTAAATAGTTAACTGTATAAGCTCTTATTGGATTAGATTTTTATAAAATGAAATGTATATATTATTGGTCAAAGTCCAATTCAGGAGAAGTTAGTTTTATCTAGACAAAATTGGTTCATCCACGATTTATTTGATCTCATCATCACGCCATAGATAGACTCGATTAATCTTCGACCAAATCAAAGATCCTCTACATAGGCATGTTTATATGCAATGTATACGTACACTTAAACTTGTATAAACGTGCTTATGTGGAGTGAGTCAGTGATCTATCGAAACTGCCCACGGCGTGCTGATGAGATCAAATAAAATCGAAATCGCAATCCTCGTCTTAAATTATCGACCAAGAGCTTAATCTGTTCCTAAATATTTTAAATAAATGCTGGGTTTTTTAAAATTGATTTTTATTTTGAATAGTGAACGTTGTAAATGTAATTGAGTTACCTGAAAATATGGACGTTGCCGTTGCAGCAGAATCAGGCACTTGTTTGTCCACCGTGTACGTCTAAAAAAACATTTAAAAAATCAACAATGGAATGTTAACATGATGATCGTTAATATTTCTAATTAGTTCTGCATCTATAAATAGAACATCGTAAGTGTGGGTACAGAGAAAAAATAACTCAACTGACGCCTTTTGGCTACCCTGAGCTTTACAATCCTAACTAATATAATTATAAATTGGAAAGTGAGTTTGTTTGTTTGTTTATTTGTTACAATTTCACGCCATAACTGTTTAACCGATCGTCATGAAAATTTGTGCAAACATTGTCAGCGTTACAGAGAATGATATAGGGTATTTTTTATCCAGAAAAGAAAAACACTGTTCCCGAGGGGTAAAAAAATTAGTTTCAAGATCTTTGACACATATTTAGGGCATCAATTCAATGAATGTTTGTACACTCAGTGTCAGGTGTACAGGAAAGAACATAGGGTACGTTTCATCCAGAAAAATACTGATTTTTGTCTGTATATCTGTCTGTCTTTTTTATTTAAAATTACGATTTCCCGTGTTAAAACAATTGAAATTTGTTTTTATATTGTACCTTTACGAGACCAACGTTTGGAAAATTTTCAAAATTTAAACAATGCTCTTCCCCCATTTTCCCATATTCCCTTTGCCCTTTGTAAATCCTTGCAGCAGTTATAGTCGATATTCCCATTCCATCTCCAATAAATATGATGACATTTTTGGCAACGTTGCGCCTTTGCCTTTCGTTTTCTTCTAAAACACGTTGCAATTGTTCCGTACCATATTGCCACCAGTAATCTCGATCTAAATAAAAAATATACTTATAGTTAGGACATTCGAAATTGGCTTGGTCCGCAATAAAACTATCGCATTTACTTTCTTCTTTCAACTTACTAACTAGACTAGAGCGGTTGCTGACAGAACGCCTACTATTGCAGGGAATATCGTAAACTTAGAAAAGAGATGTCAGGTAGAAATTGCAGCGGGCAATAATATAGAAAAAGGAATAACATTACATCAATTAATGTGCAACAAAAAGAGAATTTGAGGAATTTAAGGTAGCAAGGACGCTTGTTTAAAGATAAAGGGTCGTAACTGTTGAAAGCGTTGATTTAGAAGTTTGATTTTTTCCACAGCTCTAAGCGATATAGTTGGGACGTTCTAAATTGGCATAGTCCGCAATAAAACTGTCGCATTTACTTTCTTCTATCAACTTACTAACTATACCGTGAACTTAGAAAAGAGATGCCAGGTAGGAATTGCAGCGGACAATAACAAATAAAAATTAACATTACATGAGTAACAGAAAGAGATGCAGACAAACAGAATTTGAACATGTTCCCAGTATCGGACTTTAAAAAAAGTTCAACATTCTTAAGAATTTAGGGGAGCAAAGACGCTTGTTTAAATATATAATTCTAATCAGGCAGCTATAAAGCCAACAATGATCTTTTGCGTACCTAAGCAACCTCTAACCGCTTCATCGCTTACTATTATTCGGTTATCTCTTTTTACTTTGTCTGTATTACTCTTAAAACATTTCCTAACTTAACAAGGGCGTGTCCACAGAAAATGACTACAATCCCAAGTGGAAACAAGAAAGAAGATATTTCAATCACGACGAATTGTTAAAGGAATTTTTCTTTGTATTATATAATTGGTATTTATACATAAATAATATTCCTAAGTCGCATTTTCAAAGGAAATATAAGAGGAAAAGTAACTAGTAAATTAATAAGGACTATTTTAAGGTATCCAGATTTCTTGGCCTGTGATTCCCATAAAGTGTTAGGCTTCTCATAGTGATTTATTTACAACAAATACAGAATATTTACTTAGCATTTATTTAGAAATTAGACTACGAATTTCTTATCTTTCTTTAATATTCAAATGGCTTATTACAATTACTGTTTTTTACTATTATTTGTTTCGAATACCTAACAATTTTAGTTCAAAAGTAATATTTAATAATAATAAAAGTAATAATCAACTATAACATTTTTCTTTGTATAGTTCCACATTGAAAAGAAAGTTATGACTTAATTACGTAATTCTAAAGTCTAAACCCAAGTTTTCTTTCAGTAGTCGCTGTAAGGATAATTTAATTTTGAAATCCTATTTAATCGTAGATTGCTTTTATTTAATACAATTAACCTTAATAGCTGAAATTGTTATCTTTTATGTTTAGCAAAAGCAATTAAAAGTAGGAGCTGGTATTTAACTTGTAATTAAAAAGGTAGGTTTTTATCGAATTGCGCTAATATTTTACGTTGGATATTGTTATCAGCCCGTAAAATTTTTATAAAAAGTGAAGATAGACGTCTCTATTGTAAATCATACGATAATAATATAAATGGGATGTAATTTTTTGTGCAAAAACATTTTTCTTGTAATTATTCTCTTTTTGCAAAAGGACTCTACTATATAAATCCATTTGGTATCTAAAATTATTATTTGAATCTGTTCTTTAATTTTGAAAATAAGAAACTTTGCAGATTCGAGGATTGTAGTATTAAAATATTGGATAATAACGTTCAGTTACAGCATGTCCAGTAACTTAGGGGGTTGTTCATAAGCCACATGACTGTGTAAGGGGGCAGGGATCTGGTAATAGGCCGTATGCATGGGGGGAGGCAGTTAGATTCCGTGCTTTTTTATGATGACGTATTTTCTGAGATAAACAGTTTAAAAAAATGACTGGTATCGACATTTACAGTTTTAGATAGTTTTGAATAATAAAATAAAATTAAATTCAAATTAGTATGAAAAGTTAAATAGGCCACGTTAATGTACATAGGGGAGGATAAAATCAAAGCAGGTCATTGGAGTTGATAAGTGTCTAAAATAGAGACCCTAAGTCACCCTAAGAAAAGTTGAAATAAATTATGTTACTGCCAAACAAAAGAATTGCCCCACTGATATCATCATCATCATAAGGTCATCAGTCCTAAGACTGGTTGGACACGTACCTCCACTCTTTCCTATCCTGAGCTAAACTTCGCATTTCCCTAAAACTNTATTAATAATATTGGGAGTGCATAAAAATTGATTGTGCATGCTAGTCTTTAGGTTTTTATTATTTAGCAAAAAAATATACGTATTATGTAGTAGCAGTTCTCTATGTAAATTTTCAATCGCATTATTTTAAAATGTCATTTTATTTAAATACTACAATATACAAGCTAATTAATAATAGATGTGTTACATATTATCAGGGCGGGGAAGCTAATATTCTAATTAAGAGTACTAAAAATCATAGATTTTAATCTAAATATTTTCATAAACTTCAAAATTAAAATCTGTTGAAGTTAATCACTTTCTTTGCTAAAATCAATAAAATTTTTCCAAGTTTTATTGCCTCATAACGCTTATCCTAATTGTTGGTAGGTAAAATCCTTGCGCCAAAACTAATCCTTTATTAATATAAGCCTACCCTGAAGGTTTTGGCTAAAAAATATTAATGTGAACTCGGTCATTCGGATGATCAAATGCTATAGAAAAATGACCTTCTTCAACTTGACACGAAATCGATTTTCAATATATTCTAGCACACCTAGTACATTAATATGGGGTCATTAATTGAGCCCATTTCGATTTTTCTTCCAGCAGCGTCTTACCCTTTATAAATTTTTTAGGAACTTTTATGGTTTCTGTCCATCCTTTGGTTTAAATGAAGACATACGGGTGGTGTAGCCTAGAGGTTTAGACTGTAAAAAACATTTGGGAAGGCATCTGCTCGATTCCGTGTTCATTTACTCCATTTGATCTGCCCTAGTCCAAATTTTTCTGTGGTTACCTTTTCTCATTTGGGAAAATTGTAGGGTAACTTTTAATAATTACGTACTACACAAAAATGGTGTTGCTACATTACTGGACATACTTATTATTAGATTAAAATACTTTCAGAGGTTAAACTTACCTTGTTGAAGCAGTTTTTCTTCAGTCGCGGGGGGGAATCTTCTAAAATTGTCTGCAATATGATATAAAATATATAAATTACTTAATTAAATATGATGCTAGGTGTTATTTACATTTTAATGTTCGTTTTTAATAAATTTTGCAAAAATAGTTCAATTTAATTTATGGACTTGTACGATACCTACAATTATGAGTATTTTGGTTAAATTAATACTGCATATAAAAAGGAATTGTTATTGTAATAGCTAAAGTACATTTTTTACTCATTGTGAAAACAAACAAACTATTATAAAAAACATTGAAAAGTTAATTAAAAAATATTTCTCGATAATGTAACTTACCCTTTACAACAGCACAATGAATAAAACTTTTTAAACATAACGAAACAATTAAGTAGAGGCCAAAATTGTTCATTTTTGAAATTGGAATTTGACAATATTTATAGGTAAAATTTAGAGTTTGTTAATAAACGAAATGCGACAGTTGCCCAAAAAAAATTAGTAGCTCATTGTTGATAAGAGTTAGACCTCGAAAGAATCTATTGTAAGTTATGATCAAACTGATAAAATCATGGATGTTCAGACGCCTTTTAAACTGACTAATCCTGGCAATTGTAAACCGGGAAAATTCTTATCAAATTCGTACGAAACCGGAATGTACAATAAATAATTTGTTAGTTCAGGATTTAAGACGAGATTTTCTAGCACGTGTTACTTGCAATAAAACTTGGTGACTGTCAACTTTTGTTCACATGGAAAACTGATCGTCAAAAGTATATTACGTTGCTCGAAATTTTTTTTTAAGCCCTATGATACACTTGCATCCACATATGCATATACGCGGAAGCACAATACACACGCGTTTGAACCACTATACGAAACTATTGATTTTCCTTTTTTGATATTCTTATTATACATCTGCAGTTATCTGCACTTGAAAAACGAAAAATAACCGTAATTTTACGGTTTAAATAATAATAATAATAGTAATAGCAATCGTTTTATTCAATTTACGATCAGATAGGCCATGAAATCGTAACTCGAATCCATTATACTCACTTTATTGCCACTTTTCTTTTGTACTTAATAATTTCACGTACAGACCGTACTAATAATAAACCACAACAAACTTGAACGTGCGAATAATTCGATTGACTAATTGATTACAATAATAATAATTAATTGGTTCTACGTTTTAAATGTTTTTATGAACGACTTCTTAGCCACTAAACACGTACACGCGAAGTGGCGGATGCCAGGAAGTTCGAGAACACAAAAAAATTCAAATTCTAAGGATACAATGGGCATACGTATATTACGCCCTTTGTGTTTTCATACTACTAGGGATAAAGGGGTTTTCAGAATGCGAGCAAATGTCAACGAACTCCGAGAAAAAGTCTAATCCATAAAGATGCTGTAACCTAGGTAAGGGTAAGACGCCATAAGCAGTTGTAATTGGGGGAAAGTTCGAAGTGGCTTAATTGATGATTTTTTTTTATGTTTTCGTGGAAGAGGGGAAATCTTCAAAAGACACCCAGCCGTCCGTACGACTGGGTAGTGTCGGATTTCCGAGGAAGAAGTTCTCGGACCTACCGACTAAAACCCCTCTACCTGATGATCCATAGTAATGTCCTAATTGTATATATTCAAGATCGTTTCGTACAATCTTGTGTAAAATTGCAAAAGGTCATTTTTCTGTAGATTTACATGTATCACCAATTTTTTTAAATTAGACTTTGAAGGAGGCTTAGACCATTGCTTAGCATTCGGAAGTACTTGGTCTAAGCCTTTTTGTGATTTTCTTCGATTACTTAGACAAATGCTGGGGTAGTAATATTCCACTCCCACTCCCACGATTCCTATAAGGAAGCCGAAAGGGTCTTCCGCTAAATCCTGGGACATAGTTCGGAGGCCCTGCCCGCCCATCAGTGTTAGTAGTTGGTGGGAATGAAACATTCAAAAGTTTTTTTATTAAAACGTATTTTATGAGTGTCGCATGCAATACGATAATTTGCCACAAAATCTGTAGAATATGATTGAAGGATATATCCCAAATGAACCCGAAATAATCCAAATTCTAACATTGCAGAAATATATTCACAGTTAAAAATTTGTTATAATAATACAAAAACGATTACTCGGTAGCTGTATTAATTATTATAAACGATTTTATATTTAATGTCTTTTTCCCAATAAATGATTCTTATAATGATATTAAATGCCTCTCATTAAAAAAAATTGAATCTGAGTATTGAAAACTTAATATTCTAATTAAGAGTACTAAAAATCATAGATTTTAATCTAAATATTTTCATAAACTTCAAAATTAAAATCTGTTGAAGTTAATCACTTTCTTTGCTAAAATCAATAAAATTTTTCCAAGTTTTATTGCCTCATAACGCTTATCCTAATTGTTGGTAGGTAAAATCCTTGCGCCAAAACTAATCCTTTATTAATATAAGCCTACCCTGAAGGTTTTGGCTAAAAAATATTAATGTGAACTCGGTCATTCGGATGATCAAATGCTATAGAAAAATGACCTTCTTCAACTTGACACGAAATCGATTTTCAATATATTCTAGCACACCTAGTACATTAATATGGGGTCATTAATTGAGCCCATTTCGATTTTTCTTCCAGCAGCGTCTTACCCTTTATAAATTTTTTAGGAACTTTTATGGTTTCTGTCCATCCTTTGGTTTAAATGAAGACATACGGGTGGTGTAGCCTAGAGGTTTAGACTGTAAAAAACATTTGGGAAGGCATCTGCTCGATTCCGTGTTCATTTACTCCATTTGATCTGCCCTAGTCCAAATTTTTCTGTGGTTACCTTTTCTCATTTGGGAAAATTCCATATAGATAATTTATTATTTTTCTTCTGTCCCCATTTCGTTCGTATAATTTTTCTCCCTTCCCGCCACACTAAACCCATTAAAAGTGGTTTCCGCCCTCCAGCGCAATTTCAAGCGTCCCCCTGATCGTCTGCATTGGTAGTTAATGCCAATGTGACAGCCAAATGCTTTAAGTTCTTTAGTGGTTTCTAACTGTCTGTTTGTCATAGGTCTTGAATTCTCTTATTTATAAATAACTTTTTACATGCTCAGTTGATGAATGTGTTTTTACGTAGGTCTCTACAAATATAACAATAAGGCTTGGGATGTCTTAATTTTAGTCCCTAGATTTCGATATATTTGCTTTGAAAGTTGTTTTAATTATCAATGCAAAATATCTGAAAATATCGTAGTTTTTGGTACTTTCAATGAATATAATTGTAACCAACGTTGTTCGTCATCATAAGGTCGTCAGTCCTAAGACTGGTTAGACACGTACCTCCAACCAACGTTGTTATAAAAGGAATTTATAGAAAATTAAAAAGAAAATCTATACGAGACATTCCAAATATTTGGAACAATTTTGGGTAAATCTTCTGAAACGGAGCCACTGAATTGGAGATCAAGTGATAACATTTTGGCAAACTTAACTTAAAACCATTCAATAGGAATAAGTTTTATTTGATTAATTGATGTGCTCTGATTGACATGTCTACAGTACTTTGCAATATAGGCTTAAGTTAAACTATAGTGGGAGGGGATTCCCTTATTGATGTGTGTGAACTGCTATGCACTGGGACTTAAGTGGCATACACTACGGAAGGTTACGGTGGGATAAGTTTTCCTAAATAACATGTTTAGGTTAGCCTATGGTGATAGAGGATTTAAGGATTTTCTTATTTGTTTATGTAAAGTGCTACACGCCACAACAGGTTTAGGTTAGGTTATGGCCGGTTATCGGGGATTACCATCTAAATTTGGACGGTTCAACTATTGGCGAAACAACCATTCAGTTTTTTATTTTTGTTTATCACAGAAAATCGCTTAATGAGAAACAATAAGTAAACGTGCAACAACGTTAAAACATGCTATTTAATGTCAATAACGGAGCAACAAAAAAAATCACGATCATAGATTTGATTCACATAAAAATGTGACCGAAAACCATGAATGCTTATAAATACCATCATGGCCATGATACAATTGCTGTAGGTTCACGTTTTACCAGTAAACGAATAATTGCTTTTTTAGTTTAATTTAACGTTCAAATTTTGCCGTTAAGTTACAAAAATTCCCATGACGAACCTCTACAGGGTGTTGTCAACTTTTCAAAACATTTTGTTTTAATTTTGAACACGTTTCTTAGCACAGGTAATATTTAAAGCAAGAAAATGTTAACTGAAATATTATCTTCGAATTGATTATTGGTTTTTTTAAATGTTTTATGCTTGTTCTTATGATATTATTTTGTAATTTGCCATACAAAAACGAACTTTACCGATTCTGAATGATGAATGTTAGATTTTTAGTTATTTTAATGATAGAAGGTAATAAAGACTGCACTTTAGTATCTAGTGGAGGCAAATTCCACTGGGGGTGTGATACATCAAGTGATTAATAGCATACAAATAACCATATGGGCTTAAAAATAAAGCAATTTTTTCGATACTACAGATAGATACTTTTGTTTTATTAATATTATACATGTATAGACAATGTGGATTTTCAGCACCTTTTGACCCCTTTCCCAAATTCTGGCTACGCCACTGATCGCCGATTACGAATCTGATTGTCTTATCAGGATATTCTTTTGCGATTAAATATTTCAATAGGTGATTGAAGACTTTTTGAATATTAGGAATAGGATTTCAGATATCGATAATTGAGATTCTTTAGATATTTTAGATTTAGATTTTTTTCTAAAAATAAGGAATGTTACATTGTTGATCAGAATGTGGGAACTGAAAAGCTATTTAAATCATATGGAGAGAATATAGAGAAAAATAGAGCAAATGTGTTAGTAAATTAAATTATTACTGATTCTTGTATTAATTGTTGGTGCATTTAATTTTTGATATTCCAAATTATAAAAATGAAAAACAGTAAGTGTTAAGTTTCAAAACAATTTATTCACAATGTCGTCATTGTATTGTTTCATTATGCAACGAAATACACTGTATCGATTGTAAATAAATCCCTTTGAAACTCAACTCCTAGTGTTTTTCATTTTTTTAAATTTAAAATTATAATTATTTTAATTCAGATAGACTACTTAAAAATTCGAATACACTAATGTACAAAGAGTAGTATAAATCGTACGAATAGAACTTCAAACACCTAAAAAACAATACTGAAATCTTAGCAACAGATTTTTTTTGTTTTCCATCACAATTTTTACGTAAATACCAATCTGATGTATTTCAAGTTCACACCTCCCGTTAAATGACGTAATACCTACCTATAAACAGTTTTGCTAAACATTAATTTAATCCTATTTATTTTAAAGATAATTAATATTTAAACTTTGAAAAGGAACTGTTATCAGCATAACAAAGTTATAAAATTAGGCAAACATGTGCAGGATATTTGTTCAATCTTATTAAATCAAACATACACGTACTCACTAAAAACTGCTTAATAATTCTTCATATTTTTCAGTTTTGCGGCATCAACAAAAAGTCTGCGATGAACGTGATCATTAATCGTTTTCAGACATTACTTTTATTTAAGTATGAATAAGCACTTTTACAATGCAAAAATAAGGAAGGCTTAAAGTGTATTAAATTATGTGGCAAAAAGATTATTTTATCTTTATTTGTTTAAGGATCAGTAGTTCTTTTGGTTCTTAATTTAAATACTTTTTTAAATAAAGTATTATACTTTATTAATAATTACTAAAACTTTCTTTGATCCACCGTATTAAAATACCCTTTATCATTTTCTTATTTTCATTAGATTTTCATATTTTCAGCCTTATTAAAATTAACAAAAAAAATATGCTTTCGAATAAAAAAAATAATAATAAATTGATTCTTCAACTTTTGAAATAACATTCAATTTTAAATATTGTAGGTACAGTAGGTACAAGTAAAAGTCACCAGAAAACATATCCAGCCACTAGTTAATTAAAATAAATATGATTTCTTTTATTTACCTTTCTTATATTAAGCAATAGAAAAACATAGTACAGATAAAAAACAAATTTATTAATGTATTTTATGAATTTAACAAATTATAATTACACTTTAAACTTATTCATCTATTAAAAATGCCGAAACACTTTTATGATAATTATCGGGCAATTCCTTTTCTAATTCGTGTCTGTCTAACCATTTAAACTTAGAATCCTTTTTGTTAACTTGTCCGTCCTTGTGATGAGCTGCGTATATGAAAATCTTAAACAACAATGCTAATTAAAACAAATAGCAGTACTTCCCGTGTTTTAAAATGGAGCAAATGTAACTTTTAATTTAAAAAAATGGTATTGCATCGACTGGGAATGGAACGCGGGCCGTCCGTGTGATAAACGAGCAAATATTTTACTCAAGGCAAATACATGTACTACTCATGATGATATATAAAAAAAAACTCGAACTTTTTCACGCAAAAATTTCAGGAAAATGCATCTATATATATATATATTCTTATAGTATGTGTATTAGTTATACACCCATGAGTCGCGTGACCTCTCGTTCTGCACTCTTTTTTAATAGAATTATTTTCACAAGTACTAATTCTGAATTGCTCATAGGTAAAAAGAGGTTTTAAACTTATTGTTTACCTTAGCACCCACTGAACCAGTTTTGCTCCTAATTTCATTTGGGTATTTGTATTTATAAAACCCTGCAGGTGCATTTCCAAAAAATTGAGCTCTGATTTCTGTTCCACAACTCTCTTTTAAAATCCTTTCAGCAGTCTTGAAGAAATAACTAGTTATACAATAAAATAATTACAAAACAACAAGAATACCTGTCGTAAAGTTTCACCCTCTTTTCGCTTGCCTTGGGGTAATAAATAGTAATTTTTATTATTCAAATTGTGCTGTACCAGAAGAACCAGATGCTTGTCTAATTTTCTAGATAAAGAAGTAACATCATTTGCTTTATCTGCTTCTAAAATGTTGCCATTGCCCATTAAAATTGTTGCTTAATAGGTATTCTGTTTACCTGTCAATCTATCAGCTTCCTTAAACTTTGATCTGGCTTCAGTTGCTGCATCAATAAAATCTTGAACCGTTTGTAAAGTTGAAACCTCTACTTCTTCTCCTTTTTTAAGCTGCTGACTTATGTTTCTGCAATTTAGAAAATAGTATTAGTTATCAAAAACAGATGCATACGTTGCAAAATAACTAACTGTTCCTGTTCATGTCTTAGCTCCCAGTCATTTTTATAACTTCGCTCTAGTTCAATATCTGCAAACATTTTTTTAACTTTCACTTCAATATCACTTAGTGGCGGTGTTATAATCGGACAACGTTCTAAACAAACTGCAGCAAATAAATCCCATTTTTGTGCAACTTGTACAGAACTGTAAGATGCTGCAAAACAGTAATCAAATGTTAACATTAACTATTTTGTTCATATCTGGAATACTAAACTAACCTGAATTTAATATTTGGGATGACGTTTTTGCTAAAAATGCATATGTTCTAATCATTCTATTAAGCTGCAAAGCTTAAATAATATTGAATTTTTGAGGTTAAAGATGGGTTAAAGTATTAGGTTATGTATATTTCTCTTGAGGTCATTTAGGTTTTTGTTTGAGGCCTTTATGTGTGTTTTCATTTAGCCATTATTAAGGTGCTGTCCATTATTTACAATTCACAAAGTAGTATTCTTTAGTAATATATTAATGTTTTATTTAGAAAAGTGCATTACATTTAGTGATTAGTAATAATCTAAAAAAAAAACAATAGCAGATGTACAATATTTTATTTATACAATCTTTTGATATTAAAATTTAGTTTTATACAAACATTATTACAATATTGTTTGTGATAATGATCTAATGATCACCAAATTGTTACCTTTAATTTTTGAGCAGGATCCACTATATAATTTACGTATAACATTTTCTAGATACCAATTTGAATAATTAATAATAATAATAATAGCATTGTACATTTTGATTAATACAAAAAATACTTTGTTTTTGCATACACTAGAAAGCGTATATATACATATAGTATATTTATATCTAGTACATCACTCTCATAGCAAATGGACATACAATTATATTTAACACGTGTTAAAATAGTTAAATTCTACTACTTAATAGTAAATAAACTAATTTCCAACAATAACAGTAAATTCTTATTCTAATTTAACAAATTTTAACTGCATTATTAAATATTTAAAACTAGGAATGGTACAATCATTGAGCTATAATTTAAGCTAAGGCATGTTTGGTTGAAATAATGTTATAAAGGTTTGAAGAACTAATTGTAAGCAGGTAGCACATAATTAACTACTATGAAGATTATACTATTGATAAATTTTAGGTCCAAACGAATAGCGATATTCTTATTTTCTTCTTTTTTTTTTGTTGAAGCCTTAAACAATCATTTACGATGTTCGACGGTTTTTAAGTAGAAACTCATCCACCCTGTATTTTCACATACAAGCAAAACTAAAAAAGTACACGTGCTAAATATTTTTTTTAAAATTACAAATAGAAAAAGTGTTTTCATTAGAGACAAAAAACTCTTTTCTATGTACATTTTTTATTTCGAACAGGTTTTTTTGTCATGAATGTATATTATGTAGGCACCCTATAATAACATTTATAAAAATTGCGATTGTATTTTTTTGATGAGTTCACAGATTTAAAAATAGATATATGGCAATTCCTTTTCNATTTAAAAATAGATATATTGCTGTAGTAATAATGCATTATTTATTTGATTAATATGACATGTTTTTATTTTTATTAAGATTGTATTACTTATTAGAGTAGCTGACTTATAAAGGGAAGCGTTTAGTCAGTTACACGAATTAAGGTATCGTTTGATTGAGGTTTTTAAAAAAATTAAATTTGCAGTTTTGAAATGTTATTAAATAAATAATTGGACACAGATAATTTTTTGTGGTATAATTAGAAAAACGTTATTTTTATAAATTAATAATGTAACAGACTCTCCTAAATATCTGAATTATAGTACAGTAAACTAAACTACTAAACGGTATATATACTTCATTTACTTTCTCTAGCGATGCGCTCCTTCCAATGTCTTGGATGCGTGTTGGCAAAACCGTAGGTAGGGAGAAAATAGCTCATTATACTCTCGACTCTTGTTCATTAAACATACTTTTTCATACAGTACCTGCTAAAAGTTTTGTTCAATCATGAATAGTAGCGAGTCGAAAACAAGTGTTAAAGCCTTTAATATGTCTTCAAAAATAAATAGACATCTCGTTGATATTTTCAGTAGTAAATGGTACTAATAACAGCACATTTGAGCAATGTAATTATAGTGGATAAAATGGTCAAATTTTCCGTGCAGTACTGTACGGATTATACGCTCCTCGCCGGTTAAGAGTTTGACCGAGAGTTGTCTCCTTCTTCTTCTGGCGTAGTGCTGTTCTTTTCTACTTTGCGCCGATCAAACTGAAGGTCACATCGCTACAGAAAGTAAACGAAGTATACCTAAGTATTTTTTTAGCTCTCTTTCTCGTAGCGTCATTTTTTTTAACGCCACCCTCCCCTAAAGGATACTTCTATATCTTCCTTTAAACACAAGAACTTTGCATATTAAAATTTGAAAAATTAAAATGAAAAATTGATTGCTTCCTCTTAATTGAGTGGAAAATTAATTACTTAATTATTTAATCGATGACTCCTAATTTAATAACAATGATTGTAATAATGTTATCATTTACTCGAAGTTGAGTTAATCATAAGTCGGCTCTTTTTACAGTCTGTAAGTAGGAGCAGTAATATTAATAATATTGGGAGTGCATAAAAATTGATTGTGCATGCTAGTCTTTAGGTTTTTATTATTTAGCAAAAAAATATACGTATTATGTAGTAGCAGTTCTCTATGTAAATTTTCAATCGCATTATTTTAAAATGTCATTTTATTTAAATACTACAATATACAAGCTAATTAATAATAGATGTGTTACATATTATCAGGGCGGGGAAGCAAAGTATAATACCTACAATATTATTGAGAGGATGCGTGTTGACCAGTTGTTTATTCAACGACATACGTACCACGCGTATTCTATCTGCATTTGTACTACGTACACCTACAGGACCGTACGGTAACTTTTTCAAACTTGACCTTTTATTTTTATACACCAATCGAAAAAGTAGGCAATTTAACACGAATGATGTTAAGGGCACTCAAAACTGTTTACTCTATTCTTTTCGGGGTATTTACCATTCGAAACGTTAAAATGACAAAAGTAAGGTTAAAGTGACTGGAAGTTTATTAAATTGTGTAAAAATTTTCAACATCGATGTACTTGACGAATTGTAGAGAAAGTACCACAGACAGGTAAAATGAAATCATATTTAATTATTTTAGTAAATTTCGATACGATAGACCACATAGAAGAAAAGTTATTAATAATATATTAATATCTTGTTTTTTAATCAATTTAAAAATACAGTCGTTTACCAGATTTGTTGTACGTCGATGACGTAAACGCAATTTCTCAATAATTTTACAGTAAGTTTAAATGCGACAAATAAGCCCATTTGGTTGAACCAATTAAAAAAAATGATCATGTCTCTGCTTACGATTTTAATATTTTTTAACAAGCATAAAACACCTATTGCGAGACCTTGCTAAAATGTAACACCCTTAAAATGCTATTTAAAATCGGTTTTTCATTTGTTTCATCATTAACCTACAGTCGCTGATTGTTTTACAAGCATTATTTGCAATGATACGTCATGTAAATAACAGAAATAATTTCTATTATATATTTTTTTCTGTAGTGTCTTAACAGTTGTTGTTTTTAACCGTTGAAAAAATAAAAATTAATAAGATAGGCAACTAACAAAAAAATTTGTAAAAACCATTTTATTTGAAATTATGTTTTGCACCAAACAGTGTAAAACAATTTTTATCTATCCCGTCATTAATTCAATATATCCATTGATTTTAATAGAAAATGATGGGACATTATAAAATATAACATTAATAAAGGTGCGGCACAATTTTACGCCCAAAATCAATAGGTATCATATTTATTATAAAAGGACAGGAATGAAAGTTATATCAATAGAAAAATATTGCGTCAGAGATGTTCTCAAAATTGAAAACTAAAAACTGGCGTTAAGGCAGATAAAAAAGATATTGCATCGGATGAGAATTGAACCCGATCACATCCGGATACGTACCAAACGTTCCAATTGTAACAAAATAATACTTATGATTGTTTTAAAGTGTGTAAAGTTCAGTGTAAAATGAAATTATGCGAAGAAAATTCGAAATAGCTGTAAATTTTTGGATTTTTCTAATTAGTTGTAATTATTCGATTTTAGCATTATTTTTGCACAACCATAATTTATTAATTTATTATGGTTGTTTAAATTATTTACGTGACGTTCCATAATAACAACATTTAACGTTAACTTATTATTTACGCGTTGGCTAAAAAAATGTTATTCGCTCTTAAAAACTCGAACAAACAAGAAAACTCCGTAACAATTTAGCAACAACAACAGGTCCGTCTTCTTCACAGTTTTTTCTTTAATTTGGCAAATACCGTGCAAAATACGTTGCAGTCTTAACAGGTTACAATTAATAGGTATATTTTTATTAATTAGTGGGCGGATGAGTACTTTTTTATCATCGAGTACTGCTAGGAGAACTCATGCTCGTGTCCGATGACGTTGTTGCGGAATCCGAGTTCAAGAAAAATCGAGGGGGTAGTTGTAATGTCGGATATTCCGGACCTGTTAATGATAATATGATTATGCTTATAACAAACAGATGAATACTTAAAAAGTATTTGATAAGTAACTGTTTCAGTTAAACAAAAATATGATGTTTATGATATGCAGATATTTTAGACAAATAAAAAAAAAATATTTTATTTATATAGCACCTGCCTTTCGTTTCTAACTGCATCCTTCGCTCTTAAAAGTTAAAATTTCTTCGTTTTTAATGGTATTTATTAAAAACAATTTTAATTTACCAATACGTTAAAGTGAATTAACTTTCTTTTACCGCTACACACTGCCTTAAATTAAAAAAAAAAAAGAATTGCTGCTGGTGTCCCGCCTTCGCCGAGAGTCGAACCCGAGTTTCTGGGTTTACGTACTATTGCTCTACCACTAAGCTATGAAAGGTAACAGCGGCAACAATAACAACACATATCTAATTACGTAGGACACAAAATCGTTGAACCAATATAAAATCATTATTAACAATGAAATATTTAAAAGAATTTTTGTAGGAATAAAATAATTAATCAAAATATTAATTAATTTGAATGTGATAAAATTAACTCCACAAAAATTCTTCTAAAAGCATCTCATTGTGACTTCTGGTTCTTCTTTGTACCAAAAAATGATTGAGAAATAAATTGTTTTTACTACTTTACCTGGAGGGAAGACATTATCCTGGAAGGACCCCGTTAAATTTCCTGCAGGAGCGTAATGGGCTACCACGATAATTTTTCCTGAACGCGACCTCGCTTTCCCCACTCCGAAATATCTGGTGTTTCTCCATACCATTTGTGTAAAATGACCTAAATTTTGTAAAAATATGTATAGGTAAACAAAGAAAAGCAACGAATTTCTTCTAAAATTACTATTATCTCTATATTTCTAATTAGTTTTATAGTATGTACGCATCACGCAAAAACCACTAGAGAGCGACATGAAGACGAAACAGGAGTAAAGAGGGGCAGAGGTAGACCTAGGTTATATTACTGATTACTGTTCACAAATAGTTAGGGATGTGAGGTGTTCTGATTTTAGGGGAATGCGAAGATTGTTTCAGGACAGAAAAGTGGGAAAGTGATTCCCTGTACACTTGCTCTTTATCTTCGATAAAAGTTATCACGACATTCCTGCTTTGTATAAAATTCTTACAGCAACAATTACTGCTGCTTTTCAATCTATACATCGAAAACGCGATCGACATCATTAAAGACAGTACAACTGTAGGGATAAATATACAGGGGCAAAAGATTAGTAAGCCTAGATTTGCAGATGCTATAGCTGTATTAGCATCTAGCAAGGAGGAGTTAGAGATAGATTTAAATAAAATGGAAGCGGTATTGAAAAAACAGCATTGTATGAAAATAACAAAAAGTAAAACAATAATACTGGTATGCAAAAGTAGAAAAAATATGAAAAGAACGAATATAAGGATAGGAAACGAAAGATTAGAAGAAGTGGATCATTTTAGGTACCTAGGAAGTCAGATAAGTCAGGACGCAAAGAGTAGTAAGGATATTAAGCAGAGGCTGGTGCAGGATCGAGTCGCCTTCAATAAAAAGAAGTCACTTCTATGCTCGCGAACGGTTAATTTGGAAATTCGAAAAAGATTGTTATAACTGTATGTTTGGAGCACGGCATTATACGGGTGCGAAACATAGACAGTGGGCGCGGCGGAAAAGAAAAGATTAGAAGCATTTCAATCGTAGTGTTACAGACGAATGATGAGGATACCATGGATAGAGAAGGTTAGAAATGAAAAGGTATTAGAAAGAATAGAACAGAGGACCCTATGGAAGTCAATAAGAAATAGGCGAGATAGGTTGGTAGGACACCTTCTCCGGCATGAAGGTCTAGTCAGAGACATATTAGAGACAGAAACAGGAGTTAAGAGGAATAGAGGTAGACCTAGATTAGATCATAGACATATATTAGTGGACATGCCTTAGCCGTATGTCGTAATAATTTCTTGGCTCGAAAAGTGAGGTTTATGTCGTATGGTTTCGGACTAGTGCTATCTCTTTCATGACACGCTTACGCACTATCGTGAGAGAGATGGATATTGTCCGAAACTTCGTTCCATCTCCTTCTTTTGTTGTACCACAATTCTGACCGCTAAGGCATGTCCATTAGTAAACGTTGATGGATTAGATTAGTTTGCAAATAGTTAAGGATGTGGGTTATTCTAGTTTTTTTGGAAAATGCGAAGATTAACTCAGAATAGAAAAGAGTGGAGGTGCGTGTCCAACCAGTCTGACTGACTGACGACCTTATGATGATGACACGTACACGAAATGGATAACCGCCTCAGTGGGCGCCATTATGTGAGGGGCAAGCGACGCAGTACACATGTGCGGACAAGGGAAGAACTTTCTACTTCTGCCTCACCGTTAAGTAACAAATTATTGGTCCGAGGTGCCTGTTTCGGTGGGCAAAATCGCGGGAATCAGCAAGTTATAAATATGATTTAATTTTCCTGTACTTTTAAATTGAGGTTGAGGTTAGGTTAGGTTATCGCGTTTAAGTGAGTTTAATTTCTACTTACCTGCATTAACATTGGCGTGAAGAACATCAGGTTCCTTGTTATAATTGTACTGACGAACTGCACTATACCAGTATGAGGCTACTTCCTGCCCTATAAGCAACAAATTGTACAATAAAGAATAAATTAGAAGACCATCTTCTGTGCGCCCTTTTAAACATTACCTGATACATCATTCTGAAGGGCGTTTGTGAGTCTGCAGAACAAATTCTGTCCGATATCTTTGTCATTTCTATAGTAAAATCGATTCGTATGTGCAAGGTGGTTTGCCCATGTCTGGGCTAAATTACAAAGCTGAAACGACAAAAAAAGATACTTTGGTAACTCAGGTCGGGCTATGTATACGAGTACATGTCAATTAAAGGTTTCAGCATTCTAAATTTAATAAAAAAAGAGTGCGCGACAAGACGCCCAGAAATATACATTTATAAATAATGTTAAGTCAATTTAACTACATTCTACTACAGAATATCTCAAGTTAATGAGGTAAAACTATTTGTTGCTGCTGTCACTGCTTCGTAGGGAAGCCAAGCCGAAAAACTTATTAATATTAATATAAGAACTACCTAATAGAATAGTGTAATGTTCGTGGGTTGAACAAATTAACTTTTATGAAGAAAACTATTTATTTACACTAATTATTACTAAACTTAGGTAATTATTCTATTTATTTACACTACTGTTGCTATTCACTGTTCTATTTATTTCACTTCTATCACTGTCTATTTATTTCTTGATTCACTTCTGCAACGGTCAATTTATTTCTACTCTTCTTCGGCGATCGTCTCTTCCTTTTTATACTCCCTTGCCTCCTTTCGGGAACGTTCTCCAGCCGTCCGGAGAAGTCTCGTTTTCTTTGAACGGTTTAATTACTTTCCCGGAACGCAGGTACGACACACACGTTTACAGATACGGCGCACATGAAGAGAGGCGCCCGCGGCTAGTCGGCGAATCGATAAGCCGCTCACACACACGTATGCCCGATCGCACACTATCACCCTCGTGGTCGCTACAATAGGTTAATATAGAATTTGCCTGTATCTAAGTTTCGTCTATAAATTCACTATATATTGTTTAGTCAAGAGCATCTCAAAGGTGATGGACCTCGTCGAATTTTTAACTATTTTAAGTAAACTAATTCGAAAAGCTCGCTGTAAATATTAACTGGCAAAGACGAAAAGCTTCCCCAACAGCTATTTCATACTTAGCAGCTAACTTCATGATGCCTTACATTAGCGATAGAACGAAAGTGTCATAACGAAAACATAAACGGAAACAGAAGTAAATAGTAAATATTTGCGGAAGCGGATGCAGAAGCGGAAGTGTAAGAATCATTCAAGAATTTTTTGTTAGAAATTTTGCATTTAGCACTTGCATCTTTAATACTAGTAAAATAATAATCCCAAATAGAAATTCTTTTTTGTCCCAAAATTGCACTTTCAACTTAAAATTTACATTATACAAAATAAATAAACGCTATAACTGTATTAATATTTTCGAAATGAAAATATGTATTAGAGTTGGCTAAGGGGGAGTTGAAACTGATAAGAGAATAAAATTTAAAAAATATCAACATACCTAATACTAGGAAATAGATTTAGGTTTTGAACTATAATAAAGTTATTTGCATAGGGACAGTATTATTATTAACAATATTTTGCAGGCTATAACGCTGCACGTTGTCGCTAATAGTTCATAAACATAAACGGTTGATAATAATACGTTCACAATATTGCAGTGGGGTCCTTGAAAGCTAGCGAAGGTATTTGCTCAACATGCAATGTTTCAACTAGCAATTTTATTTAAATTGTATTTTGAAAACAGCCAAGTTTACTCAACAGATAAAAGTAATAAATTTTTACGACTTGTTTTATTGTTCCGATATATTGATTTTCAAAAAGATGAGAAATAACATTTTGTTAATACGGAACCAGATGCAGAAGCGGATGTGAAAATATATGCGGAACTTCCGTAATTACGGAAGCGGAACCAGATGTCTATTGCAACAATACCTTTCTTAGAAGAGCATATATCAAATATTATCTCTAACTGTGTTTAAAACTTATACATGTGATTAGGTGGATATAGCAGAATCAATTTTTCAGTATCTCCACTGCAATATTTTTTTTGCCTTGAATTGATATTGAATTCAAACGTTCTACAACCATTTTGAGTTTATCTCGTAAGAAGTTTGTAATTTTATATTAAACGCATGAAAATTCTTTTTTATGAAACATATTTACATGAAAGCTCGCTGCATTGCATTCAAAGTTGTCAGTTTTTGCCGAAAATCTTCGTTTTGGGTGATGTCTTTGACTAGGGCTGTGAGGCCACAGGTCACGCATTATATCTCCAGACTACAAAACCGAAATCCTACATATTTGTAGCAAATGGAAGAAATTAGATTTATTTAAATTTTTAGGAATTATTCGTTTAAACAAAAATAAAAATTTGATTATTGTAAATAATTAGTAGCTAGTGGAAGTGAAACATCTAATAGTATTTTTTTCAAGGACCGACAAACGGACAGAACCACGAAAACTCCTAATATCGGAATCCTTAAAACTTATTTCTCCTATTTTTTTAGTGTTTTTTCTGCAATTGTAAATAGCATGGTCACCATATCAGTAAATTGCTAGTTAATGTTTTCATTTCAAGATTAAAATCTTAATCGTAAACGCTAAATTAATTCTTTCTCCAAAGCCCTTGAACTGTATCTGATTATAAGTCGGCTCACTAGTAGGTACCAATTATAGATCTTGCAGTCCAAAATTAGATTGGCGTGTAATTTGTCATTATTATCGTTGGGGTTGTTTTTATGAAATATGGATCGGTGTGGTCAAATCTCGTCTTATCGTGCTGGTTCAAAGTTCACTAACAATAAGGATCAAATATACATTTTCTGCGTATGTGGAATGTGGATAAGATGAGACGGACGAAATGAAGAGAGAAGTGAGTGAAAGATTATCAATGGAGTATTACTGCCCTATGGTCTAAATCCTAGGCCAGGAGTCGGCAAGTAATTTTAGTTATTTAATTTTATTTTAACAAAGAAAATTAAGATTCTTGTTATTACAAATTAATCATCAAATGTGAATCGTGATTTTGAGCTTATTGGCTCTCATCAGCACACCACAGGTGGATCGGATACATCACCAGTCAAACGAAAACTACTGAAGTACAACAAGTGATAAAATAGTAAGGATGACGTAGAAGTAGGCATTTGTACATGTTACCGGAAATGTATGATATCTAGGAATTGTATACATTTCCTAGGAATTGTATACAATTCCGAAGCTATTTAGGAAATTTATAAAATATTGTTTCAAAGATATATAGCAACTCGCATGAAAAGAACTTACCCTATCGTGCGTAAAGAAGTGTCACTTTTTCATCTAAAAAACGGACAGACAGACACGAGTGATCCTATATGGGTTCCGTTTTTCATTCGTTCGTAGGGAATTCTAACCCGAGAACCAATTTAACATTGTAGTTGAACAAGAAAAACATGTTCTTCCATACATTAAAACTGCAAATGAAAATTTGTAGGCACAATATTGTTTCGTTGAATGATTTGCCACGTTATGTTCAGACCATAGACTTCTTAACAATTTTCTTGTAATCAATAAGTAAAGAACTATTTTCTGTTTTTTTTTTTAAATTTTAGATTCAATAGTTTTGGAGATAAGGAGAGAATGGTCAATTTTCGTCTATTTTTTTTTAAAGTATTTATTTTAAAATTATAAAAAAATATATTTGAGACCCTTACAACAAGCCCTTTCATTTAATATGTTACACGGTACAGTTTGCAAAACGTTTTTTTTTTAATTTACTATTGGCCCGCCGCCCAAAATGACCCCATATTCAAAATTAATTTATTTACGTTATGGGTTTGGGTCACAGAAATTCATGTGTGTACCTACTAAATTTCAACTTGATCGGTCGGGTAGATTCGGAGCAAATTGACTGTGACTGTGACAGATGGACAGACAGAAAAACAAACTTGAAAGTTTTTTGTTGACAAATGATGAGATGTTTATATTATTTTATCTTTTACCTAAGCGAATATAGCTGTTTTGTGAAACATTTGAAAGTTGTATTACTATTTTATGCTGAAATAAGCACATCAGTAGTGCATTCCACAAAATTTATTGCAGTTTGCAAACTTCTTGCTATATCTAGTTATATCTAGGACCTACGACGTACAGTACAGAAGCTTTTTGCTTTTTTACTGTATCAAATAGTAACATTAAAGCGGTCTGGTACTGTAACTTTAAATGTAAGTGGACTTGTAGGCAACAGACAACCCATCGTACACCAAATAAATCTACTTATTTTATCAACTTCACTTTAGTGTTCAGTAGATGTTTTAAAATTTCCGCTGTATCCCATCTATATCTGGTGCCTTATTATTCTTTAATGCTACATCGAAATCTTCCGTCGTTATGGGATAATCTAGCTCACCTATCTACTCACTATCTTCCTTCTCTAATACATCTGCTAACTCATGGCCTGCGTATAGGTTCTCTAAAAATTCTTTCCACCTATCTGCCTTTTCCTCATTTTATATCGGAATGACTCCTTTTTCGTTTCTTATATTATTACTACTGTACCCTATATCTCTAAAATTCCTTTCAATTATATCATAAGCCTCATCCGTTTTACCTACTTCTAACTTTTCTTCTATTTCTTTACACCTCACATCAATCCACTATTCCTTAGCTGCTCTACACTTCCTGCTTATTTCCCACTTTATCGTCTTACATCCTTTTTGGCCTTCTTCGTCTGTCCTGTTTTTGTATTTCCGCTTTTCTTCTATTAATCCTACAATCTCGTTTGTTATCCAGGGTTTTCTATTTTCGTTTTGTTTAAGACCTAATCCATCTGTAGCTGCTGACTTTAAGCACGTTTTGATGCAGTTCCAATCCTTCTCTATGTCCCCGTCATTCGTTTCTCCCGCCGCCTTTAGTATTTCGTCTGTCCTTTTGCCTAGCCTATCACGCGTTTCGTTACATTTTAGCTTTTCTAAGCCGAGACGTCTCCTACCTTCCCTCTTTTTCAGAATTTTCAATTTGAGATTGGTCTTCATAACTACTAAGTTATGATCACTATCTATATCTGCTCCTGGATAACTCCTACAGTCCTCCATTTGATTTTTAAATCTTTGCCTCACAAGTATGTAATTTAACTGATATCCCCCTAAATCGCCTGGCATCTTCCACGTATAGCGCCTCTAAACGTGATGGTTGAATAATGTATAAAATAAGAGATATCATCATCATAAGGTCGTCAGT